CCGCAGGTGTCTATGGTGGGAAACGAAAGCGCTATTGTCCTTTCCGGGGAGTAACGCGTTCACCACCACACCATGCGGGTCTTTTGTTTCGCCTGTCGCTATTTCTATCGATCTTTACCACAGCAATCACCCGTCAGCGGGAATGCTGAGAGACAAGCGAAACAAAGGACCCGCATGGTGTGGTGGTGAACGCGTATGTCCCCGGAAAGGACAATAGCGCGTTCGTTTCCCACCATAGACACCTGCGGTCCAGAGTTTTGCAAATATCTCAGCAACGTTGTGGTAGTATTTCGCTTAGTACCCTGCCGCGAAATTATAGTAGGGAGAAAATAAAAAGGTATAACATTGTGTCTCAGCATCATTGAGGTTATAATCCACATAGTACCATGCCATTAAAAAGAATAGGCAATAAATAAAAAAATGACAACACCACAACAGTAGTGTTAAGTAGCGATCGCAAAAACTTTGTACCCACTCCGTTCAGACAAGCAGCACCTGCACGTGAATGCCACGCGTCTGTTCGAGCGAAAGCCCCGCCCAAAGGGTTGGCCGTCGCGCGAGCGGTAGGGCGACGAAGCGGTCGTTTTCTGCAGAACCCAGCCCCACGTTGGGCACTCATCCGCAGGACGTCAGCCCATGTCACCCTCTTCGTACTGGTACAGTTTCGCAGAATGCTTATAGAAATCTGTATAGACCATTCAGATTCGACTTTCATAGCTGTGAAAAAGAAAAGTAATCAAATTAAAAACTCTTGCGTACATCACCACGTTAACCTTCTATTTTCTGCCTACTATAATTTTTCATGACAGGGTATGATGTGAATTACAGCCAGAACGATGCCGAGATAATCGCAAAGGTTGGAACCGCTGGTGAGATCGTACCACGGGGTTGATCTGATGAGCACAAATCGACACTGAACCGAATTAAGCTGTGGCTGTAGTCAAAATCACAATGTTAATCTTTTATTTTCTGCCTACCATAATTTTATGACACTAATTTAAAGGGTCTTCGTGGCGCAGCGTGTAATGCGCGAGCCCCGGAAAGGGAAATCGTGGTTCGATCTCGCCCGCGGTCCACGCGGTCCAAGTTCTGCGAATATTTCTTGCCTAAATGTTTAGCTTTTCATTTACTGCCTATTATTTTCTTTCATGGCTGGAAAATGTACAAATCAATTATGTGAAATACAGCTACAATAATGCGAAGAAGTTTGCAAGGCTTGGAAACTTTGGCCAACTTCGAGCCAGCGTCTACCCTCTTCGAGGGCTCATGTGTTACCCACTGCACCGCTGACCCCTTGCTTTGCCTTTCTGTCATCCAGTTTTTTACTCTTTTACTCCTCAAGCCAACGACTTCGTCGAAGAAGAATTAGAGCCTAATGGATGCTTCTGATTGCGGAGAACATATCCGACACGTACATAGAGCGCTCCGTGAATATGGGAAACGACGTGGAACATGATTTGTAGGGCAGTAGGATACTAGCATGGGCCGCATTCGGACCATTCACAACAGGCGCTGTCGTCTTATTGTCTAGAAGATCCACAACTCTGCGCTTACACTTTTAATAAAGCGGTCCTCCAACGGCTCTGTTGTGTAGTAGGATAGACAGCCCAACAACGCCAAGGATTCTGCAAAACTCATCGGCGCTGAAATATGCCTTTTGAAATGAAATTGACACTTAGGACATTTGGCTGGAATCCGGAATTCAGACCATTGAATGTGAGCCTTTCTTCGCGATCCAATGGAATACTCATCGAAAACTCGATGAGCCGGTTATCCAATGAGCGGAGACAACAAGGACGGATTAAAAAAAGCACTACGATGACCTCTAAGCCGATGCCAACGCATCTAGGACGACTTCACAAGATGTGAACGTGTTTGTAAGTGAAGTCAATCGGCTGTATTCGCATATGATGCTTAACAGATCGCAGCATGGCACTCGCACACGCCCCCATGAAAAGAACAGCAACATTTTTTGTAGCTGTGGTGCATTGAAGACACTTCCCAAGGTATAGTTTAGTATAGTTTTACACCCAAGGTGACCGTAGCTATTGGTGGCCTAATATTTACAACTTACACATTTCACACATAATTTGTACAGCCTATAAAACTACAAGGGCCGCGTGTAGCGCAGTGCTCGGAGCCGCCCTGCAATACACATGGGCTCGATTCCCGCACCCTAAGCTCACCAACCCTTCCATCCTTCCAGAGTCGACAGATTGGTACCACACTTGTCTGGGAGGATAGCAGCATTGGCTCGATACATCGGCTGACCACTGCGAGTCGTTGCAAAGGCGAAATATGCATTTAATCAGCTCCAACAATGCTTTATGAAGTCGAATGCAGGGCGCATCCTTCAGGGAGGTATCAACGCCGAGGGATTTATCGTTTTAAAAAACTACAAGCCATGGGGAAGCAAAGTCGCGTGTAAATACGCTGCAGGGAAGACGTAATTAACGTACTATCTGCTAGTTCTGCTAAAATACATAGAATAGGACGTAATCTAATCTCTTATCCTGTCACAATAACTCCCTCAAACTCTGTGACTTATATGTCCTCTCTGGACTTCTGATAGCTAACTTGTTTTCAGCTTCCTTCTTTGTTCTGTTTTTTGTGACAATCAGATAGGTTTTTCTCTGGAGCACTCTCTCAACCACGAACGAACTCGCGCGTCTTTTATCGGTGTATAAGTATATCCGTTAGACCAACAAACCGTCCATTAGTTCCATCCCCTTTTTCAGCTAAATTTCCTCTTCTGGTTAAGTCCCTGTCGGAATGCTCTATGATCAGGCATGCGTAATGGCTTTAGTGTTCAACTTTAATTCCTTGGTCCTGTGTTTAAACGACACAGATGACATTGCTATCAAATTATCTAGCGAAGGCGAACAGTAGAAGAAAGACCTTAACCAAGAGCGCGCGTTCATTTAATATCATCTATATCGTTCTTAGGAAAAACATACGTATATGGACCAAAGGAAATGCTTTTGCAAATCTGGTTTCGTAAGGAATTGAGGTACAAGCTGCGGGACAGGTTAGTAGGACGTTCTTCTCTATCCTCTCCTCTTGTGACCCTTACACCGACATGCAACCCGCTTCACCGGTTACCTGCCTATAGATGAGCTTTCCCTAAACCTCAACAACTCGTCTGGTATTAGATTCGTGGCGACATACAAAATGTGTTCGAGTTTTCATCCGTCTTTCAACTAAACTTTTCCGTTTTCCTTCCTAGTCCTGTTCGTGGCGATGTCATCGCAAGAACCCCTCTCATGCCCGGAGTCGTCCGTACAGGTCATTGATATGTGGAAGCGTGCCAAACCACCTCCAAAATCCACAAGGAGTGACACGCTACCAATCTCGAGGACCACGTTCGTTTTCTTTTCTTTCCTTGTATACTCTCTAGTTTTTTTTACGTTACTTAACGTTTGTTAAAATCTTATCTTTGCAAAAACATGAAACATTCCGAAAGGAACCAGTTGGCAAGTCGGGATTCAAGCGCTATGTTGTGTTGCTTTCAACTTATGAGCTAAGTTGAAGTTTAAAATCCGTATTTATGAATAATGGGGCATTGATAGGGAGCAATCGTTTATTGCTTACGTTCTTTGCCAGGTTGTCTGAAGCTTTCTCTGTCGTGGTAAAGTGCATAAGCAGTGGATTTGTAACCTTGCTTACATCAGTTTTAGGAATTTGTATAGACTTTACTAAAGAATGGGCGCATGTGGTGCAGTGGTCAGAGATGCCCTGCAACACATGAGATCGATCCTCTTGCCCGAGGCTTATCAAGCCTTCCATCTCTCTGGCATCGGGAAATTGGTGCCAGACTTGTCTGCGAGGATAACGCTGGCTCGATACATCAGTAGAGCACCGCGAGTCAGTAAAGCCCAGATATGCATTCATTCACTTTCAACGACGCTTAATGAAGCACAATTCATGGAGCATCCTCAATGGATTGATTAACACAGAGAGCTTTATCCTTTTTTTTGATATTATCAAAGGATGCAGATTTAACGATACATTCGCTTAACGGGTTTACCTCGCAACCATGAATAATATGACACAAACTGTTTCTTCTGTTCCTTTACTCGTCTTCATTTCTGAGAGTTGCAGGATTTCACAACGCTTATCTGGCGAGCGTTCGTGGTTGTGGACAAATTTGTCCCAGATGGCGCCGTCCGACCAGGCGATCATGATGGCAAATATTGCATCGATGTGGCCGTACAGCAGTGAACGAAGGGCTTTGAACTGGCCAATGCACATTGGTCTCATCACCAATTGCTTTACGTCCACAATCATCGGTATCAGTCATCATCGTATTATTTGTCTTCCGTAGTGAATTGTTGATTTTTAGCTACAAAGATCAACTCTGATATGGTGGCTTTCAATCCTAAGATGGCATTTCTTGAGTCAATTAGAACGTGTCCCAAATCTCCGTTCGTATTCGGAGTTTATTCATCTGGAGTAGTTTTCTACGCCTTACGACAGGTATGTTCTAACGAAGCACTAGTGTGCGTGTACTGACGTTATTGATTTCTTATCACTGTTGACACACAGTCGTCATGTTCCAACTTTTAGGCATTTGGAGACGTTGAGCAAAGTTGATCGAAAGTATATAGCCCTTCAATGATGTTGAGATATTTGCAAAACTCACTCCGCACTGCAGGTGTATGCGGTGGTGAACGAACGCGCGCTATTGTGCTTACCGGGGAGTAGCGCACTTCACCACCACACCATTCGGGCCCTTTGTTTCGCCTGTCTCTCAGTTAGTTCTATCGATCTTTGCTATCAGCAATCACTCGTCGGTGGGATTGATCTGGGGAGCCCAAATCGGCAATGAACCCAGTTAAGGTGAGGCGTTAGTTGTAATCGCGATCTCAAACGTTTTATTTGCTACCTACTCTTTTTAATGGCAGGGCATATACAGGGTGATTGCTGATGGCAAAGATCGATAGAACTAACTGAGAGACAGGCGAAACGAAGGACCCGCATGGTGTGGTAGTGAACGCGTTACTCCCCGGAAAGGACAATAGCGCGTTCGCTCCCCACCGCAGACACCTGCGGTCCGGCGTTTTGCAAATATCTCAGCATCATTGAAGTTATATTTCGCAATATACCCTGCCATTAAAAAGAGTAGGCAGCAAATAAAACGGTTGAGATTGTATAGGCCTTATATATATACATGCGTATATATATATATATATATATATATATAT